TTCTTTTATTTATTTTTATTTATTTATTTATTTATCATCATCACATTACATCAATTCTCTTGACAGGTGATTTGTCATTAAGTCTAATAAAATTATACATTGAAAAATCAACATTATTAAAATCTACATTATAAAATACAAAACAAATAAAGCAATCAATACAAACCTATGGGAGAAGTAATACCTTTCAAATTGTAATCACATCTCCAAGATATTCTTCTAGTGAGTAAAATGCCCTCTCCAAAAGGAAACTTTTTAAAGATAGTTTATTGTAAACTTTTGGCCCTATATACTGAGGAGATAAATGAAATATTTTAAGCCTATGTTGAATTGGTTTTATAATATTTTTGAATCTTGTGTTATGTGTATGTGTTATGTTATTGTGTCTTTCAACACAAAAATCATGAAAATCCATCTAGTGGTTGATTCAGAATCTTGAAATAAAAAAAAACCCTGTCATGTTTAAATATATATGATGATATCTATAATTCAGTATTTTCTAACAACAATAAATTTGGAACCGCTTAGCTTATTTGCCAATAACATTTAAATTTTCGGGATATCTACCTAAGTGGATGTGATATTTTGAAAGAGAATAAAATTTCCTACAAATTACTACTATGTATTTCTTGATAATATTTAATTAAGGCAGGCAAAAGTTGGCTACAAATTGAAACTTAAAAACAGAAACTTGAAAAAGCTGTTTTTACAGTCAGTTACAGCCACATGACACTCCTAGGAGCTTTGTGACTTGAAAATCCCCAAGATTTTAAGAACTATTTACATATGTCAGATGACAGTTTCCGTTATACTTAACAACCAGTGACGCCCATGACACCTTACATAAAAAAAGGACGCCAGATTGATATTTTAGTCTGGTTTTGTTTTGTCAGTTAATTATTAGTTGTATTGTGCATGCCCAAGCCGTCTTTAGTTGATCAACTTAGTCGCTGAACCCTACACACTCTAGTTTTTTTTTTTTAGAAATCTCATTGCCCGGCGATAAATTGGTTGATTGTAAACCAACATGTTTTCGGTACAGCACCGAAAACCAAAATGTCGCCTGGCAACCTACAAATCGCCGTCAATCAAATTGACAGACCCCCACACCAGAGGTGCCCATCCCCCCAAACCCAGAGGCACAATTCCCCCCATGCCAAAGGAGGAGTTCCCCCCAATTTATGCTGCCCTCTATTTTGAGCCTAACCTCTCCCTGCAAATTTACCTGGCAATTTCCCCCTTACCACATAAAACCAGCATTTCAAGTATTCAGTAAACTTAAGGCAAAGAAAAACAAAACTTGTTGATAATCAAAATTAAACGTTTATTAGGAAACGTCATTTAATATACAAAATTATATCTAACTAATGGACGAATTAGAAGTTTTTAAATTTACAATTCAGAATCTGTATTGTCATCCAGCATGTGCTTAGTATTGCAATAGCCAGCGTCTTCAAAACGTTCAACAATATACTCGGTGAATTACTCAACTCCAACACAGTATTGTAACTGTACAATATATTAGGTGGCGTCACTTTTTACAGGGCTTAAGAAATTCAAACAACTTTAAGTGCATGAATAATACTATGGCAAAAAGTATCTTGTTGCAAAATTAGGCAGAGTCAAGAAATAGGGCAGACTAAGAGGGGTTGCTCGCCACTCCCAGGCTGTCTTCTACGAAAATCGCCGGGTCAAATACCCACAATAACTTAACTGCTACCAGTACATAATGTTTTTGTGTCAAAGTAATTTTATAATTCATTTTGATAGTCCCAGGATTACGTTTTATGACTAATAATGATAGAAACGCATCTTGTCAAACAATCCTTAATAAATGTACGGTAGTGTCAAATTTTACTCGCTACATATGTTTTGGTGGTTCTTTAACTCCACCATTGTCAGGCTCACAAAAGGATCCACTTCTAGAGGTGTCGTCAGAATATGTTACACACATTAAACACAAAACACGATCAACTTAACAGATATGCCTATCAATTCATGCGTGTACATTGCCGCAGGCAGGACTGGAAGTTAACTGAATCAGGTTGTGACGGACTGACGTGATCTCTGGATTGTCATCTGTGTTATCAAAAGCTGATATTGGACTAATTGTAGTGACGAAGGAGAGTTTTGGAAATATAATGGGATTCATAATTGAGTTTTCCATTCAAAATTATTGACAATAATAACTAATTTATATGCTGGATAAATTATGGTCTCGAAATTCTACATTACTGCAGGAAAGGAAATGTATTAAATACTTTGGAAGACTTTGAAATATAGGCCTACAGGGTGGTAAAAAAGTCCCCGGACAGTTAAATATTTTGAAAAATGATGTAGATAGAGCTACAATACTTGGTACAAAGTTACAGGGCATACAACTCTATTTTAACACATATTCAGTGATCCAATAACTCTTCAGGGGGACGGCCCACAAGGAGTCGGAAGAAAATTTTAAATGGAAGCATAGGTCAATATGCACATCAAATTAAAGGTCTTTTTTAGTAGAATACAATGCCGCAAACCGCACTTCAAAGGGTTGATCCTGCGCAAAATGGCAGATGTTCAAAGATTTCTTGAATCCGCCGTTTTGAATCTTTGAACGACTGCCATTTTTTACTCAGGCATTCTTTTGAGCTTGAATTTACGGCATCGTAATCTAATAGTGAAGACCTTTAATTTGATGTGCATATCGACATATGCTTACGTTAACAATTTTCTTCCGATTCCTAGGGCTGTGCCCCCTGAGGAATAAGCGTATAATAGCAATGTAAATTGAATGAATCTTTGAACAACTGTCATTTTGCGCAGGATCGACCTTTTGAAGTGCGGTTTGCGGCATTGTTTTCTACTAAAAAAGACCTTTAATTTGCATATTGACCTATGCTTCCATTTAAGATTTTCTTTCGACTCCTTGTGGGCCGTCCCCCTGAAGAGTTATTAAATCACTGAATATGTGTTGAAATAGAGTTGTATGCCCTGTAGCTTTGTACCAAGTATTGTAGCTCTATCTGCATTATTTTTTTAAATATTTAACTGTCCTGGGACTTTTTTACCACCCTGTATAAATTCATTAATCCCATTATATTTTCAACACTCTTAGTCACTACAATAGTCCAATATCAGCTGTTGAAAACGCAGACGACAATCCAGAGACCACGTCGGTCCGTCATAACCTGAACCTGATTCAGTTTACTTCCAGTCCTGCTGACGTCAATGTACACACGTGAATTGATAGGCCTGTCTGTAGTAATCGTTTTGTGTTTTGTGTTAAATGTTTGTAACGTATTCTGACGACAACCTCCAGAAGTTGATATTTTTGTAAGCCTGACGATGGTAGAGTTAAAGAACCGCCAAAACATATTATGTAGCAAGTAAAATTTGACACTACCGTACAATTTAAGGATTGTCTGACAAGGTGGGTTTTTACCATTCTTAGAAACAATCTTAATTACGAATGGCAAAATGTTGTTGGTTTTGATAGTGGACTACTTAGAAACACTTTTCGAGCTGCTTATACAAAATTATACATTCATTATGACAGCTAACAAAAAAATCATCCCCCCCAAAATTCCCCTCAAAAAAGCCCCCCCCCAAAAAAAATTCCTGTGGCACAGTACCCTCCCTCTGGGCACCCCTGCCCCACACACACGGCGATATTTGTGCAATTTGATCGCTCATCAGCCAGATTGCCGGTTGGTAAGCGACCGGGTGTCCTAGTGTGTAGCAGCCTTAAAACATAACCTCAAGTAAACAAGCCCGAGTGTTTGGAATCTTTTGTCTGCAGCTGTGCTGAGCTGAAGTGTTGTGTGAAGATTTTTGGCTGCTGGGTTGACATATGTATTCAAGCAACAAACTTTCGAAACTAGATATTATGAATTGTGATTTTCAAAAGAGAGAAAACCAGGGGAACGTGGCTAGAGTGTGTTATAGTTTTGCTTTATATTTGTAACTTATTAACCAATACTGAACTATCTGAATCCGAAAATATGCGAATCCGAACCTTCTATATCTAATCCGACCCGAATCCGATCCAAAATGAAATTTCACTATCCCCACACCTCTAATATCTAGTATATTAGAGGTGTGCGACAAACTGAAATATCAATTACAGCCTATGCTCCATTGGCTTTAGAAACTGCAAGTGGGAATCCCATTAGGGTGAACCATATGTGCTATTGACTTGAGTAAGATACTGCAACTAGACATCCCATTGACTTTGGATTCTGCAAGTAGGCATCCCATTAAGGTGAACCATATGTGCTATTGACTTGAGTAAGATACTGCAACTAGACATCCCATTGACTTTGGATTCTGCAAGTAGGCATCCCATTAAGGTGAACCATATGTGCTATTGACTTGAGTAAGATACTGCAACTAGACATCCCATTGACTTTGGATTCTGCAAGTAGGCATCCCATTAAGGTGAACCATATGTGCTATTGACTTGAGTAAGATACTGCAACTAGACATCCCATTGACTTTGGATTCTGCAAGTAGGCATCCCATTAAGGTGAACCATATGTGCTATTGACTTGAGTAAGATACTGCAACTAGACATCCCATTGACTTTGGATTCTGCAAGTAGGCATCCCATTAAGGTGAACCATATGTGCTATTGACTTGAGTAAGATACTGCAACTAGACATCCCATTGACTTTGGATTCTGCAAGTAGGAATCCCATTAAGGTGAACCATATGTGCTATTGACTTGAGTAAGATACTGCAACTAGACATCCCATTGACTTTGGATTCTGCAAGTAGGCATCCCATTAAGGTGAACCATATGTGCTATTGACTTGAGTAAGATACTGCAACTAGACATCCCATTGACTTTGGATTCTGCAAGTAGGCATCCAATTTATGTGACCTTGAGCCCATTGTGAAAAATTAATTTGTGGTTATACGTCCAAAAGTTATTGGATTAATATGCTTGCTCCAATAATATGCTTGGTTATATTGCAAGCAGAATTACATTGTACACCTAATTTTGTTCGCAGGTTGATGAGACATCTCTGGCAGAGCTGGAAGATGCCAAGAAGCAGCTGTTGGCACAATTAAATGACACCTCTCCCATATGTGGCACCCCTGAGAGTCGGGTAGGCAAAGTCAAGTCTGTAGACATGGGAACTCCACTGCTGCAAAGTGTCTCCCCCTACCAGAGACTGCCCTCGGCAGACAAGTTTTCTGTAAATATTTGTGATGTTATTAACTTTGAAAATCTACCTGATTCCACTGGAAAATACAAGAAAATGAGTGGTCTCATCCGCAAAGTTCGGGTAAAACTCTCAAAAATTAATGATGAACCTTGAAAATGTTAATTAAGATTGATATGCAGGTGATGTCCAAAATAAAAGTGTATAGTTCCAATTTTGTGACCATTATTTGTAATTCCTGAGCCAATCCAAGAGTTATAATTCAAACGCAGGATGGTTATTGACTTAAGTTTGGGAGGCCCAGGTTTCTCTCCCTCCTAAATGTAAAAAAATATAATTAGAAGAAATATTTTAAGCCCTTTTTATGTTTATAACACATTTTTTGTAGGTACATCGTTCTATACTTTAGAGCCTAAAAGATTATCTTGAACCCAGTTTTACAAGAAACTAGTGTACCTGTTGCTCGAATTCGAGCAATTGCTAAGTATTACAGGCGTTATTTTAAAACAAATGACAGCAGGGTGTCTAGTAGTCTGGAAAATCGGGAAAGTCGGGAATTAGTATTGAATTTCAAAATGGTCTTGAAAAGTCGGGATTTAGTCTTAAATTTGATTTCAAAGTCGGGAATTTTTATGATTTTGCCGTGATTGTCGTCTTCCGTTTACGTAACCGCGAAAGCCAATGATGATTGTCCTCACGGCCTCGGGAAATGTACATGATTTTGCCGCGATCGCGGACGACGACGATGACGTTTCCGTGACCGCGGGAGACGACGATGATGTCTACACGGCCGCTGGAAATGTTCGAATGATTTTGCCGTGATCGCGGACGTCGACGATAACGTTTCCGTGACCGCGGGAGATGACGGTGATGTCCAAACAGCCGCGGGAAATGTTCATGATTTTGCCGCGATCCCGCACAACGACGATGACGTTTCCGTGAACGCGGGAGACTTAGATGATGTCTACACAGCCGCGGGAAATGTTCATGATTTTGCCGTGATCGCGGACGACGACGATGACGTTTCCGTGACCGCGGGAGATGACGATGAAGTTTCCGTGACCGCGGGAGACGACGATGATGTATACCCGGCCGCGGGAAATGTTCATGATTTTGCCGTGATCGCGGACGACGAAGATCACGTTTCTGTAACCGCTGCAGTCAATGATGATGTCTAAACGTACGGTACGCAGAAGATTTCATGATAAAAAAAACCAAATTAGCTAGTTTAAGCGAATTTCCCTATAGGGAAGTAGCTATTACCGTAGGTCTCATGGTAAGACTTAGGCCCGGGACCGATTTACTTTTTCATTTTAATGTCCCCAGAGGCCAAAAACACCATTCGTTCAAATTTTTATATATGTATATATATATAGATATATATATATATATATATATAGATTTATATATATATGTGTCCGTGAACACGATAACTTGAGTAATTTTTATCCGATTTTGATGAAATTTGGTTTGAAGGTGTAAGGCGGGATAAACTTGAATGAGTTCGCGATCCAGCATGATCGGACTATGGGAACAGGGTTTTATGGGGGGTTTTATGGGGTAAAAATTGGTTTTTCTCACTTCTTACCCTCAAAACACAAAATTTCCCAATTTTTCTCTAAACCTTCTTAAAGAGCTTAAAAAAACAAACAATTCAGTATATCAAAGTGTTTTTGTACGGTTATTGGTTACGGAGAAAACTAAAAAAATGGTAAATTTAAAATTCCCATGTTATTCTTATGGAGAATATTGTAAAATGTTGTAGTTTGCTTGTTTATGGATATATTTTGATCAAACTTGGCAAATTTATTTATTTTATAGTAAGCTATAAATATTTTACTAAAAACACACTACTTTATTAGTTTCCTTGTAGCAGCAAACCTAGGTACTCGTTAAACCTAATGTTATTTAAATAGATCAATTGAAAATCAATTCGGCCAAATGGAAATTCGCTTAGACGGCAGGTTTGCTGCGGCGGGGGTATTTTTTTATTGCTGCATTATTTCTTTACTTGAAAACACCACATTATCATAATACTGCTTTATGACAAAGACAAAGAGTTGGTGTAATACTATTTAGAAAATTTGGTTAGAAAAAGCTATAAAAATTGGTATTGGTATCAAGAATCGATACATTTTGGTATCAACACCCACTAATTGTTGAAAAAACTAGTCTTGAAAAATCTGGAATTAGTCTTGAAAAGTCTGGAATTAGTCTTGAATTTTATAATGGAAATAAACTAGACACCCTGTGACAATCATAATTTCTGAAAACTTTAAAAAATTTGACTCAAAGACTATGGAAATACTTAAGATGTACATAACAGATCGATATAATCAACATTTCTTGTAAATATCGTATCATTTTTCAAAAGCTGATCTTGTTTTTTAGTGTTTTCTACAAATAGCCTTACTCGTAGCCGCATTAGGTTATCCATAATAATGATTATTAATTCTAAAAAAAAAAACATTAGTTCTATTTATTTTCCTTGGTGATGTTCTATGACTTTCCTATGTTTCCATAGTTTGCAAATGGACTCTTTCAATGATTACTAAGAAATGCAGCACAATGTTAATTAATTCAGTTTTCTTTTTAGTATATCATATTATCCAGGCTCTCTCGCTTTTTTCTAGTAAATATTTCATTTCCAACCAAGTCAGTACAGCTCGTGACACCTAAGCTGGCACTTGGCCTAGTGCGGGCAGTGTAGGCGGGAGGAGGGTGGAGGTTGGGAAAAGACCGGACTGCAAACATTTCCGCTGCCTCACGGGGTTGACTCCCCTTGTATTAAGTACTTGAGCGCCTTCATATGGGTCGCGAGGACAGTTGATGCAACCCGCATGACGGGACATAATGTTTTTGAAATAGGTACTAGTAGCGATAGGCCAAGTGCCAGCTTAGATGTCACGAGCTGTAAATATTTGTAGCAAACTGTTAAATTAGCAAACTGATTGCCTGTTTACAATTAACATATGTTCTTCTTCTCACTTTTAATTTATGACGACAGCTGGAGTTTCATCAAAGTTTTTGTTTACCATGTTAATCTTATGGAGAAATATGAAACTTTAAAAGGTTCCAAGGCCTCACACTCTAATTATTGCCCTAAACAGAAATTTTCCTGCACAACTTCACGTTAAGCTCTTTCCAATGACACCAAAAACATGTCAATCGGTTCAGTAGTTTCGGAGGAGTAATTGTCACCAAAAAACTGCTTGCGTATTAAATAAGTAATAGAAGGTAACTTCTTGATCAGCATTGTATGTGTCTTAAATTTACGGAAAGTACAGTAAAACGCCAACTATCTGAACTCCGATTAATCGAATCGCCAATAATCCGAATCGGCTCAAAGCTTAATATAAAAAATTAAAACTAAGTGCAAAAGTTCGATCGATAGCCGTGTAGACACAATGACAACGCCACCCCGCGTGGCGGTGTAGTGAATTGACAGTGTGACAGTGTTTAGATGCGCAGAGTGTACTGCGCATGCACCTGCAGCCACTACCCCTACCCAATAAACTATCGGTGAACTATCGGTTCTAGGTGGGTTCTAGTTAGCTCCTCCCTCTCCTATTGTGCGGATTGCTGATTTTTATATCGGGTTGTGAGATTGTCAAACTTGTGATCTGCATAACTGTATTTAATGGTTACAAGTGTTAAATAACTAAGTAAAATGAGTGCAAAACGAAAACGTGATGTCCTATCGCTAAAAAACAAAGTGGAAATAATAAACCAATTAAAAAAAAGAGTGGCGGGAAAGGTATTGGCAGACAGATTTGGTGTCAGGGCGGTTATGATTACTGACAATAAAAATAACAGGGAAAAGATTTTAAGTTTTGTGACTATGTTGGAAAGTGATGATGGATGTTCGTCGCGAAACGTGATGAAAAAGTCAAAAGATAAATAGCTTCAAATTGCAGTTTTTACCTGGTTTTTGCAACTAAGATCTATTGGACAACCGATTTTAGGACCTATTTTATGTGAAAAGGTGCAAATGTTCAGTGAAAAAAAGATGTAGCTGATTTTAAGGCAAGCACGGGATGGATACGCAATTTTAAGAATCGGTACGGAATTCGGGAATTGGATATTGTCGGTGAAAAACATTATGCTGATAATGAAGCTGCTAATAAATTTTTGGAGACATATAAAAAAGAAAACAGAAATGTACGACTCTGATCTTGTGTATAATGCTGACGAGGTTTGAATTGGAAAGAGTTGCCAAGAAAGACCCTAGCATCTAAAAGAGAACAAAGTGCTCCCGGTCACAAAGTCAGTAAATATCGCGTCACTATAATGGTCTGCACTAACTCTACCGGTACCTATCACCTTCCTTTATTATTGATCGGCAAAGCAAGGAAGGGCTTTTAAGAACGTAGCCAACTTACCAGTGACCTACACTAATCAGAAGAATGCTTTGATGGAGAGCACTATTTTTTTTTGGAGTGGTACGATATAACCTTTATTCCTCAAGTAAAGAAAATTAAACAGGAAACAGGGAAAAAAGGGAAAGGGGTTGTATCATGGACAGTGCGCGGACACATTCTTCACTGGAGCTTCTCGTGAGAGAAAAGGGGAGATTTAAGTGTCTCTTTTTACCTCCTAACGTGGCAAGTCTGCTCCAGCTCATGGATCAGGGTGTAATTGAGTGCACAAAACGTCTTTACAGACAACAGCTGCTTCGTAAATTGCTCCTAGCTGGAGAGAACAACAAAGAACAAGTTTTGGATTCTTACAAAAAAATCAACTTGAAAGACAGTTGCTACATGATTGCAGACTCCTGGAACATGGTTAAGAGTGTTTCACTTAAACGGGTTTGGAACAAAATAAACAGTAAGTCAACAAAAGAGCAACTCGAGTTAGAAAAGCAAGCTAAAGAACATGAACTAACTGATGAAGCTGCTGGCGTAAATGAAGACGACCCGGAATTGCCGTCAGTTGGGGAGTTAGTAAACATGGCTAAGGAAATTGCGGGTTGTTCGGAGTGTGATGTCAATGATATGGAAGAGTGGTTGGAATGTGATAAGAACGATCAAGGATACCAAATAATGACTGATGATGAAATCGCAGTGAGTGTCATGAATGAAGATTAAAACAATGGGACCACAAGAGACGAAGAGGCAGGAGACGAAAGTGTACCATCACAAAGTGAGGTGTTTATGTGCTATGACAACGCCCTCAAATGGATGAAGCGGCAACCAGAGTGCGACGGTG